TGCCATTTGAACAAAAGACATGTCACTACTGAAACAAACTCTGAGTATGAAATTCGATTCTAACAGACATGTCACTTCCATCCATGACTACTCAAATAAGCTATTTCAAAAAATCTGAAAACTTATAAAAAAAACTTCAAACAGTACCCGTTTTTGGCGAACCCAGAAATCGTTGCATTGAGCAAAGGCAAGCTCGGCTCAGGAATTTCGTCGAACACTTTGAGGGCATCGCGTAGGAGATGGAGCTTCATGTACACGTCCGCCAGAGCTGTGGAAGCATGCATGTCGACACCGAAACCGGTTTTTATGAGATGGGTGTGGAGCATTTGGGCTAGGTGGGGTGATTGGAGCCTGCCACAGGCTTTGAGGAGACAAGGGAAGGTGAATTTGTTGGGAGCCAGAGAAGCAGAGAGGTGTTTTGTGTACAGCCAGAGGGCTTCCCTGTAGAGTCCATTGGCAACTAGCTTTGGTATTTCGCGATGCATGCGATGGGAGAAGTTGAATGTTGAACACTAGTATGTACTATCACATTACCTTCTGTTTTCTAAGGGGAGAAAATTATTCTTGTAGTCGTTGACTATACGGGTGTGAAGTCTGAACTAAGTCACGAGAGTGAGGGTGCAAGAGCGTGAAAGCCTCTTGAAAAAATCTCTACAATTCGGGAATACGGGGATTGAGAATACGAGTGCAGAGCGAGAATTGAGAGCGCGAACGGAGGTCATTTTGGAAAATTATGTGACTCAAGGGTGTGAAATTGGTAACTTCGAATTTTGCAGCTAGTTCATTCAAGCATAAACACGGACTAAGAGTATGTTTGGTTTGATGAAATGGAATTGACAATGGAATGAAATTGAGGTTGGAATGGAATTGGAGGAAATGAGATTGGAAATTTGGAATATCATTTCTATTCCCAAGTTTGGTTGTGCTTAGGAATAATCATTCTTATCCGCAATGGAATTGTGTGACAATAGTAATTTTTGGGGTGACAATAGTAATTTTGGGTGGCACTAATAATTTTGGTATTGCAAAGAAATGGAATGACAATTCCTTACTTTTTTTAAATGGAATGACAATTCATTTACTAAGGTGAATAGTGATTTCATTTGGAATGATCGTTCCATCATTTAATGGTAAACTAAACATGAGAATAAGTATTCCATGAAATGATCATTCTATTCTAACGTTGATTCCATCGAACCAAACATATTCTAATAGTACTTTAATTGGAAGTCAGGACCGCCCCATCTCGGGTTCAAAAGTTGTCCATCTGCTTGGTTTTAATTGGGTTCTGCTGGTAGAGTGTAGAATCGGTGGATTACTTGAGGTGTGCGTAAGCTAATATGTAAAGTTATCACAGATTTAAAATACTAAACTTTTGTGTAATAGGGTTAGTCAAGATTCGAGTAAATTAGTCAGGACACACGAGGGTATCTCTTGAAATCCAAAAATCAAGTAGTACTTCTTTGAGATCATATTTGGTACAATGGTGCTAGTACCACACCCAAACTCACACCCAAACATACGAGAAGTTTTTCAGTGCCGAGCGGGTATTGCCGACGTGGCACCCGCTCGGCGCATCTCAGCCGTCCGATTCACTTTTGGACGGCTCGGATTAAAACCCTCTCTCTCCTCTCACCCCAACACTTTCTCTCTCCTTTTTCTCTCTCAAAATCTGAGCCGTCCAAACACGAAATAGACGGCTCGGATGCACGAGCGGGCACCACGTGGTACCCGCTCGGCACTGAAATTTTTTCCCAAACATACACCCACCACTCACTCACATGAGTGGTGGGTCCCACACACACTACACACTCTAGTATGTGTATGGGGCCCATCACTTATGAGAGTGTGGGTGTGTGTTTGGGTATGAGTTTGTATGTGTCACTAGAATTATTGTATTTGGTAAGCACATGTCCAAGATCAGGATACTTTTTCCTAATTACTTTGTGAATAGTTTTTTTTTTGTGAGTAACGGACTTTGAAAATTTTCAGCTTTTCTCATTAAAAATAATTCCTTCCTTCCTAAATTTTCGTATGTGGTGATCACATTGCATGATTCTTCATGTGACGCTACCCAAAATCAATCACGGTCTCGTTTTATGTTTTGAGCTGTTTGTACCTTAATGCATCAATCATCTACTAGAAAAACAATTAATTGGCTTTGTTTGGTTACCCGTTTAGTTTTAGTTTTAGTTTTGTTTTCAATCATTACTCTATTTTTTTTTTCAATCATTACCCTATTTCTCTCTCCACCCACTACCAAAACTAAACTAAACTAAACTCTCAACCAAACACAACTATATATGTAATTTGATCATCACATATCGCAAATACTAGGTCGCATGACTAGCATCAAAGTTCGTTCAAAAAATAATGGACGGTGAAATAATTTATGCGCTTCTAGTGTCCTCTTGCACTTAAAATTACTACAAAACAACGTTACTTATTAGTACTAATTGACTTTTCACTATATGAAAAGTCAATTTTTGTGATTTTACGTGAACAACGATAAGAAAAGAAGTGCAAGAAGATATCTAACCAGTATGCGAGTACTCCATTATTTTTCTAACGGATGGTGAACAATAAAACGGTCTAGAGATCGTAAAGCAAACAATAATGTTACTGGTCTGTCGTTTACGTACCAGAAATATAATTTATAAAACAGGGAATTAACAGTTATTCCGATCGAAGAATAACAGTTAAGTCCGAGATCGTCCACGGAGAGTAAAAAGCTAAGTTGCAATACGTTCAATTGATTTCTAATTTAATTCTGAAAGAAAAAAGGTTTGGATTTGAGTTGATTTAATTAAACTAAAATTAAACTAGAAAGCGATTAAAGGATTTTGAAACAAATGAGAGAAGGGACTAGGGTTTCCGATTCAGTCTCCCCTTGTAACGCAATTGTTTCGAAACCTAGGGTAGCAATTCCTATCAATAATTCCCAAAAAGATAATCAAGATTCGTACTCCGTATAGACTATCTCAACACGGCACGACCCGTCTCACATCGTATAAATCTATCTCAAAGCCTATCCTGAAATATTAAAAACCATTGTATGACAGTGCTTGAAACCATGGATACAAACACATTCGAATATTGAAAAAATATGAAACTTCATAAAAAGTTATGAATCGATCAAGTCACACAATCAAGTTGAATAAAAAAACCCTAGAAATCTAACAACTAAGCTACTTGGAGAGACCTCCTCATTACCCTAGTCCAGGGATTTAGCCGCTCATAGAGTTAGAATAAATAATCATGAAACACATAAACTCCATTAAAGCTTTCGGAAGAATAAGAAAAGAATAAAACCCAAAGCTCCTGTTGGCAGTGATTCGGCTGTGATTGTGATCCGCGAGCCCCGCAGTCGGTTCTCCCATTCCTTTTATTTTTTCCGAAGCTAAGTAATTAGTGGGACCCAATTTCCGTGACCAATTCCTCAAGCCACCAGCTACGTTTAAAGCACAGTGGATTTTATGGTCCAATTTCCATTGTAGTTAGGATTTTAAACCATTGCATCTCGTTTTCGAAGTGACACCAAATAGATTTCAAATTTGCGCTTTAGCTCTAAATGTTATCCATCGGCGTCGAGAGTTCTGAAACACAATTAACAAATATCAAACCCCAAGTAGCGTGCTAAACAGACATAACAAACCTAAGTTAAGGTGCGTAAATAGACATATTTACGCACCTATCAGTTACGATACATGAAACTAGATCGAACCATTCGTTTCTTTTCCCGGACGATTTCATGGATTGAGTTTCTTTGTACTACCCCTCCGCAATATATAATTTGTTGCAATAAATATTGATGATGTTCAAATAAATGCATGCAGATAAATTTTTACATACAGTAAATTTAAGGACTCCTACAATGAAAGCCAAAAACACTACTAAATGTATCTCAAATTAAAGCTTGTGACTACGATGTGCTTGGCGGTGGTTTTTTAAGCTCCCGACGATTACGTTGAAGGCGTGCTGATTCAGCTCTGATCTTCTGATTTTGATCTGACCTATTGGAACGGGAACAAGTTTATCACTTTAGATTTCATGGACTCTCTACCCTTCTCTTGGATACTGTTATTGTATTTTTTTTTTTGTTTTTTGTTTGTTGTTTTAGTTGTAATTTTTTTTCCGATTGAATCATAATATAGCTGAGACTAGTGCTAGTTCGTGCCTACGGCACTACGCATTTCGGTTGGAAGCGGTTCCAACAACTTGTCCTCACATCCTTCTGTTTTATAATAGAGATTTATAGTAATAGAGATGATCTCTTCGCTCAAAAATAAAAAATAAAAAATCACACGAATCATTTTCGTATTCGAAACTGTACAAACATAAATACAGAACATATACGGCGTAGTACCATCTCACTGGCAACTTGGCAGAAGAAGCCATAGAAGTAGAATAGAATCAAGAAAGCAAGTGAGCAGCAGCAGAACACACATTTACCCACACGCACACCCTAGTGAGAGAAATTGCTGGGGACCGCCCACCTCATCTAGCCATCCTCTCTCTCTCTCTCTCTCTCTCTCTCTCTCTCAATGTATATGTATACCTAACCTAAGTATATCAATATCTGTGTAGAAAAGCTGATACTCGCCGCATTTTCTTCAAAGTGAGTTTTTTGGGGGGTTTAATTTGTTTCACAGTTTGTTCTGTCTGTTTTTTATTTGATTTGATACATCTGCTTATGTATTTGAAGTAAGTGAGTTGTGCTTGATGAGAAAAATACCTAATTTAACCTTGAGGTGTTGGTTTGACATCTCTTTTACATTGGAAAATGGAAACTATGGTGGATCTAGGGTTTCCCTGGTGAAGAACTTGAAGATCAGGGGGAAATTTTGCCCGTATCTCTTCGTGCTTTTTATGTCTTTAATTTTTGATAACTCAGGGGTCTGGGCCAGCTTAGAGGAGCCCAATTAGAGCCGGAGAAATTGCTCCGTATGGATTGGCCCCAAAGGAATTGCTCCGTATTGTTTGGCCCCAAAGGAGTTGATAGTACCTGTGAGGTTTCGAACCTGAGACCTTAGGAGGGAGCAAACCCCTAAGTCCTCCGCCTTAACCACCAGGCCAACCCCTTGGGGGTTTTATGTCTTTATATGGGTCGGTTGTCTATGCGTATAACACATATATAAAAGTCTGGTGTTCATTATTTGGAAACTCCACCTTGTACAGAACACAATTGAAAGAAAGGAAATTTGCCAATCAGGTGGTTGTAAGTCAAGTACTCTAAACTGTCAACTTGAGCATTCGGTTGAACATGCTTGTGTTGTGTGATGCTTGCAGACAAGGTTTTTCGTGTTGGTTTGACAAAAAACATGTTTTTTTTGGCTTGATTGTGATAGCTCTTGTATATTGGTGCTTGTAGGCATGGTATCTGTGAGGAAGGAGTGGGTTAGCCGTGAGGCCCGTGATGCTTATTACTTGTCTGTACCAAGATGGCCAGTCTACTATGCTTTACGTTCTGATTTTACTTACTTTGGTTACAAGTGATATAAGTACATTTCTGGTTGGGAAACCCTAGTTTCCTTTGGTTCGCTTTCCACCCCCCCCCCCCCCCCCAAATAACGAATAGATTATAGTCGATGTAGTTGCAGTGGACGAATTCTCTGTTGGTGCAAGTTTGTGCATGTTTGAGACTGTGATAGGCTTATAGCTAGTAAGACTTGTTTTGGTTGACTTGTAAACACATATGTAGGCGGCGAGGATGTCGACTCCTTCAAGGAAGAGACTGATGAGGGATTTTAAGAGGTTGCAACAGGATCCCCCTGCAGGCATCAGTGGTGCTCCTCATGACAACAATATAATGCTCTGGAATGCTGTTATATTTGGGTTGGTTGCAGAGATTAAATTATGTTTATATTTGTTTTCACGAGCCTTTTGCTTGTAGGATTCATGATATTCATCTTAAGAATATCTTTCTAATAGATTTCATGTTTATATTGCAGTCCTGATGACACGCCATGGGATGGAGGTAACATCATTGTTCTTCCAGTTAATGAAAGGATGTATCTATCTGTTTGCGTTTGAATGTACCCATTTATTTAAGTGAAAGGTCTTGCCTGTCAGTACAAATCTGTCATTTCCTGTGCAGTCATATAAGTTTTGGGTGACAGTGGTTGGCAGTATCAGTGTTCATATTTTGGAAGAAAATCAACTCAAGAGTATTCTTAATATTTTCTCATGGTGATGTGGTCCAGGGTCGTACCTTTGTGCATTTTCTTTTGTCATTCTATTCCCTCGTTTAAAAAGATTGGGCTTAAAGGTCCATTCTACTGTCTGTTGCACTTGCATAATATTGTAAGAATGGGTGATTTCCTTTGCTGACTGACTTGGTTGAATATGAATTTGGCCTACTGGGCCATTCATGTGACCTCTGTTCAGCATCGACAAAGCATTCTGTATTGAACATGTAATTTGTCTCCCCAGTCCCCACTATCTTTTGGCATTTTTTTTTGTACGAAAGGATACAGTTGGCCTTCAGCTTTTGTAACAGGAATTTGCTTTTTATTCTAGTACGGTGGCACCAATTACATGCTGTAGAGTTAGACGTTATGAAGCATTGACGTGCCTAAGTGGTCACTATATCCATGTCGGACAAGTCAGGGACACTGATACGCTAGGAACACACCAGGATACTTGTGGGACATGCCAAGTGGCGTGTCCATCAACCAATCCAAGCCAAACCAAACTGATCCGATTCTTAAGTTTCAGTCAATTGAGGTCGGCTTCGTGGATTTGTTTTCTCCATTAACCTTTGGCGAGGGTATTCTTTTGCCGTCTCTGTGTCCCATTTGTCCATGCTGCTTAGGTTTTAATATTCAATAACCATCTATTAGTCTTTGTGTAGTTTGGTCGTTGAAATATGCTCTCTTTTGTAATCTTATCTAGCTTCTTAACCATACCAGTTTTACGTAAATGTAGGACATGGAATTTCAGTTATTTTTGTTTGATGATGCTTCTAGATTATTTTTTGAAGTACTTGCTTCTATTAACAAGCGGGTTGCTTCTACGTTATGCAAGTTACTTTTCTTACTGTCCATAGTTGTTTTTCTGTTGGTTCTAAGTTTTTCCTGTTGTAAGTTTCTGTTCTGTAATATTGGCATGTCTGCATTCACCAGGTACGTTTAAATTGACACTTCAATTTTCTGAGGATTATCCAAATAAGCCACCAACAGTGCGCTTTGTCTCTCGAATGTTTCATCCTAATAGTAAGTTTGAAGCATGCTCTTTTTTGTTCTTTATCTACATTTTCAGTCCTGAAGTTGTTTCAAAGTTATATTTTCTGCAAATGCGCCAAGTGTTGTGAGTGAATTCAGTTGGCTAGCTGTATGTGTAGTGCCTAATCTTATTCTTAGCTCTTTGGCAACTTTGTTGCCCCCAGGGGTGTACAGCAGTGGTGGATGGATCGTGCATTTTCAGAGTCTATGCTGTATGGTTTACGTTACCATGTTTTATTTCCTTTATACACGCTTTTATAGCGTGTGGAAACATTTATATGTTTTGAGGATTTCTATTTCTAGTGAACTAGTCCTTGGCAATGATAATTCGCATTTTAGAATATGATGTGCCTAATAGGAGGAGGGCTTTTGGTGTTAAAGAGTTTGCACAAACAGTAAACTCATACTTACCAGTTGACAGAACAAAAATAACATATTCACTTTTTATTACTGGAAATGACTTATCACGCAACCGCTTCCAGTGTTGTTGTCACTGATATTACCATTTGTTTTTCATCATTGTTTTCGTGGTCTGAAATGGACTGTAAGCATCTATCCGCTGATAGATTCTTACACTAACTAATTTTGCCTTTTCCTGCTCTAAGTTCCTTTCCTTCACTTTTGGCAGTCTATGCAGATGGTAGCATTTGTTTGGATATTCTACAAAATCAGTGGAGTCCTATCTATGACGTGGCCGCTATACTTACCTCTATCCAGGTGTGGGATTTTGTGCCACTTAGTCTTTATATGCGTGAACTTTGGACTGTGACTAGCGTTGTGCAGTAAGAACCCATGGTCATTCTGAGAGTTTTCCCAGTTGTTTTTTCGCTTCCCGTTAGGCCCCTGTATGGGCCTTCTTTATGTTATATCTAAATGCTCAGTGTAAAGGAAAGGAGAAAATATTAGCATTTCCTTAGGTGTATGAGAATGGATTTTCTCTGACCTTGACTAAAGCAAATACAATTGGAAAAGAGGCATTTTGGGTTCTTTGGTTAATTTTTTTTTGGATGCCATTGGTTTGAATGGGGAGACTCCACCTATGTATTGAGATCAATGGTGGTGAAATACTACGAGAACTAAGTCTCTGTTTCATGGGTGCCTTCTTCCTCCTCGTAACCTTTCGTTTTTCCTTCTTTCTTAATTAGAACTGTTTATATAGCATCCTCCGTGACCTTTGCCCTAAGTTGAGCTGTCAACAGAAAACTGAAGATTGCCATCGAAGGAGATCTCCTCCCACACTGCTGGGTAATGCTTTGTTGAACTGCACATTCAGCTCTTTAACATTATGGATTGCGTTAACAGCCTGGTGGGAGTGGAGTACACGGCGTAATTAACAACCATGATAATCGTATGTTAGGGAGCTAAGGGGTAGTATTGACAACCCACTAAAGCCTTCTTCTGCACTCATTGGGTTAGCTGAACTGTATGTCCTTTTTAGTCATTAAGCAGTGTAATACACGCGGATAGTTCTCATTCAAACTGGGGAGTCGGAATTCTTTTTTGTTGTCATTTTTGTGTGAACATACTTTGGGAGCCTCCTTCAGACTCTATTTGTCAAGCTAAATTGTCTAGACTCTATAGCAGTATTATCAACAGTATTGACATTAATTTGTAGATATGACGCAGAACATAAAACGTTGTCGCTTGCCTATTGATGATATATACATATTGCACTAAGGTTTTTTTTTTCTTTTTCCTGTGTCCTTTCTCTCTTTTGAATTTTGTATTTTAACCATGGCCTTTCCTATGCAGTCATTGCTGTGTGATCCAAACCCAAACTCTCCTGCCAATTCAGAGGCTGCAAGGATGTATAGTGAGAACAAGCGCGAGTACAACAGGAGAGTAAGAGAGAGTGTTGAGCAGAGTTGGACGGCTGACTGATACCCCCGGAAGGGTGCTGTCAAACTTCCAAGAAAGTCCCATGGCCTGTTAGAATAACACGGAAACTTAAAGACAATTGTGTTGAAGACTGGTGAAATTTGCATTACAATATTTGTTTGCTTATGTTCGACGGATAAAATGTTAGCCCTTGCTGTTTCAGTTCATCAAAACTTCCTATCTTGCCTTTTTCGTTAAGGTAGTGTAAACAAGTTCCTTGTTATATCATCTGCTGCTACCGGTGATCTGTGATGTACTATGAATCGTCGTCTTAGGTGAAGTGAGATGTTTCTGGGTCCCTTCCGCGATGTAATTTCTTTCTTTTGAGAAGTTCGTGTTATTGACATGGGGAATCTAAATCTTCAACTTTATCTCCATTGTGGTAAACATTGTGTTCAGGCATTTGTGGCCATGCTTGAAAAGGTTGACATTGATGAAAATGCAAAGGTCCGGCGTTCATCACACATACAGTTTCAATGCTTTCAAATTCAAAATAATTTTGTGTTTGACCACTTCTTTATAAAAGCCCTACGTTTGTCATTGCTAGGAGCTTTTCATCAAGTCCATGGAATCATACCAATAATCACAACAAAATGTTATTCAATGTACTTGACTATGATAGTAGTGTTCAGCATGCAACACATGAGCAATTAAGCACTCCAAAGTGAGGAGTACTAATTTATTTGACAACGCTGACTTTCGCCGATAAAAAAAAGAGTGTTACTAAATTACAAGTGTGCGTATGGCGGGCGCAGATCCGTATTTTGAAGGGGTGGAGTAGATTTCTAAAACTTTGTACTTAGGTTGCCACTGGTGGTGCTCCATCCTTGTTGAACTTGCATCGAGTACTGCAAATGCCAAACGACGTCTTCTATGGTTGGTCGCGTGCTTGGATCTTCGCATAGACATTTTGTGCTGATTTCAACTGCAGTTTTCATCGATTCGTAAGCAAAGGTTCCTCGAAGTGAGGGATCTATCA